AGTTGGTCTGTTGTTGAAGTGAGTTTGATTCCTAAATAGGGAATGCTATTTTTTTCCCCAAGAGAAGGGGAATTGTTTAACAAGTAATATTTGGGAATGATGTGGTGTGTGGAGGTTTAAAATTGAAGATTTGGGTTCATTGAGTTTATAATAGGAAACCATTGAGTGGTGTTGGAGGTGCGTTTGTATTGTTTTGAGGGATTTGGTTGGGTTGGTAATCCATCAATATGTCGTCGTCTGCAAATAGGCTAATTTTATGTTCAGTGTTAAGGTATTTGATGCCAGTAAATGCCGGGTTATCTCTGAGATTAGAGGCTAGGCGTTCAATGAGCAACGCAAATATGATGGGGGATAGTGGGCATCCTTGTCTAGTACCATTGGTGATATCAAAGGGTTCTGATAATGTTTTTTGTCTGTTAATACTCTGGCTGAAGGGAGGGAATATAGTGCTGCTAGGATGGCTGTTAGCATCCATCCTGTAATTCCAAATTTCTGTAATGTCAATCGCATAAATAGCCAATGTATTTGATCAAATGCTTTTTCTGCATCTGATAGGAGTATTGAGGGCTGTTTGATATGTTCTAAATGGTGCAGAAGAGTTATAAGTCTTCTGGTGGCATCGGGTGCTTGGCAGCCTGTTATGAATCCTACTTGGTCTGGGTGTATTAAGTTAGGAAGATAAGGGATTAATCTGCGAGCTATAATTTTTGCATAAAGTTTTATGTCTGTGTTAAGTAGGGAGATTGGTCTATAATTTTGGACGAGTTGCGGGTCTTTACCAGGTTTTGGGATTGTTGTTATTGATTGTAGCATGTCTTTGGGGAATATGCCAGTGGTGGCAGCATGGTTAAAGAGTTTGGATAGGTATGGTGCTAGATTTGGGGCAAAATATTTGTAAAATTTGTTCGTATAACCGTCGTTTCCGGGAGATTTGTTAAGAGGGAGTGTTTTGGTAATATTTTCTATTTCTGTGATAGATATCGGAGTAGATATAGCGTCAAGTTGGGATGGGGGGGAGAGTTGGGAGTTTGGTTGTGTGAAGAAATTGTATGGATGTAAGTGTTGGTTGGATGGTGTCAGGATCGTTTTTAAGATTATATAGTTATTGGTAATAGGTTGCAAAGGCGTTAGCTATTTCTTGTGTATTTGTGGTTAAAGTATGTGTGGTTGGGTGATGAACTGAGGATATTTTGGTTTTTAGGCGTCACTGTTTAATCATTTTGGTTAATAAGGCGTTAGCTTTGTTGCTCATGGAGTAAAATTTAGCTTTAGTTTTTTGAAGGTTGAGGTCGTATTTATAAAGTAGGAGGGTTTTGAGTTTGTTTCTATCCGTGGCAAGGGAAGTAGAGGTTGAGGGGTCTGGGGATGTTTTGTTTAATTCTTCTCTTGTTTTAATTGACATGAGGAGTTCATCTATTTTGTTGGTTTCTTTGTTTAGAGATACAGGCGTTTAGTTGAATAAGAATACCTCTCATGTATGCCTTGTAGGTAGACCATAGTATAGGTATAGAAATATCAGGCGATTCATTAATTTAAAAAAACAGGTTACGAGCGTTTAGTATATGTTTTCTGTGGTCTGGATTCTTCAGTAAGGTTTAGTTCAATCTCCATATTGGAGGGATCGAAGAATGTTGATTGTGGTCCAGAGTGATGGAAATTGGCACCATAACATGGTCGGACCACGCTCCAATCTTGGAGGAGGTGATATGTTGTAAGGTCCACTTGTCTGTGATAAAAAAAAATCAATTCTGGAATAGCAGAGAATAATAGGTGTAGTCTTTTTCTGTACCGTGTTGGCATCGCCATATGTCGTAGAGGTCATTGTTGTGTAGAAAACGCTTAAAAGTATGTTTAAAGGAGCTTTTACTGGAAGAAGAGTCCAGGAGTGGGTTGTTTATGATGTTGAAGTCTCCTCCTAGTAGTAGTCTGCCTTGTCTCTGGGTAGTAATGATTGTGATTAGTTTGTTGTAGAATTGGAGTTGGTTGATATTTGGCCCATAGATATTGACCAGGGTATATAGGATTTCGTTGATCTTGCATATTAAAAATATGGTAGCGGCCTTGTGGATCTGCTAATTCTGAGATATATTGGAATTGGAGGGAGTCTCTTATGGCGGTGATGACGCCATTCTTTTTCTTGGAGTTGGTTGCCATAAATATTGATGAGAAGTGGTGTAGGTTAAATTTGGGAATTTTGGAGGAGGTAAAGTGGGATTCTTGAAGGAAAAGAACATCAGTTTGCAGCGAGCGAGCTTCTTTTTGCAGTAGAGATCTCTTGTAAGGAGAGTTGAGGCCTCGGACATTCAAAGATGATATGCTAATCATATTGTTGGGTATATACGGGTTGCGTGGAGTAGGAGAGATAATTCGTAAGTTGTGTGAAAAGTTGAATATTTCTTTGTCTGGATGTAAAGCTTCCATAGAGAAGAAGTAGTGATCTTGATATGTTCGCTGGTCTGAAGAGGTTATTTCTGCTTGTAGTAGAGGTGTTTGAGGGAAAGGAGGTTGATGTGAGCGACTGGTGGTATGAGGTGGGTAGGGGGTTAAAAAAAAAAACTTGTGCAAAATACAAGTAACATGTAGCAGATGTTGCTACTGTGTAACGGGGAACCGAAACATACATGACTCAAGAAAGGAGTCATGTTGACGAAAAACTTGAAGTTTAGAAATGTTCGGTTAGGGCCCGTCTGTCAGCCTTTAGTGGTTTTGAGATGATACCCAGTGTGTCGGGTAGTAAATGGTGTTAGGGATTTTTTGGTTCAGGACTATTCTGCTTCCATTTGTTGTGGTCGGGTTGAAGTGGATTTATGGGAGTCCAAGGGTAGGATGTTCCATGTCTTCAGGAGTTTTATGCCTGCCTCTAGGTTTTTGACTGTGTAGAGCCTTCCTTGATGCTTAACGATGAGCTTCGTGGGGAAACCCCATTGGTAGGCGATACCATGGTTCTGCAGCGCTTTGGTTATGGTAATAAGTTTCTTGCAGTTGAGAAGTGTAGCTTTGGATTTATCCACAAACAATTTTATTTTCGCCTGAGAAGCCGGAATTGAGGTAGGGTTTCTAGCAGCCGTCATGATTTTTTTTCCTTCTTCACGTGGTATTCCGCGGAATTTAATATTGTTGCACCTGGAGTGGTCTTCTAGGTCTGCCAATTTTAGGTTAATTTGTTCTATGTCAGCTCCGTGGTCTGTGTGGGCGTCTGAGGTCATTGTGTGCCATGAACATTTCACCCATTCTGTTCTCAATATGGCGGATGCGTCTGTCCTGATTTTGTACCGCGGATGAGATTTGCGATATAGTTGCTGTCAGGTCGTCATGTATTTGTCGCAGGGATTGTAGCATACTTTTCATTGAAATTTCAGTGATAGGATGGTCAGAAGCAGGAAAGTTTTCAATTAAAGATGGAGTAGAAATGGAAGTAATTGTAGGAGGAGAGGAAGGTTGCAGGTCAGAAACAGATTGTATGTCCAGTCTGGATCTGGACTTTGCAGCACTACTTGTAGAAGGAGACAGGGGCGGAGAGGACTCACCCGGGTCTCCTGGGTATAGTGGTGCCTTGAGCCTGGGGTCCATGTTCTGCGCTGTGTCCCCCTCTGCTTGTGTGAGGAGACTGTCAGCTGAGGAGCCGGCGCCATCTTGGATGCAGGGGAGAAGCTCGTCAGCTTCCCTGGCTGCCCTGGTGATCTGCGGCGTCGGGGCATGGTCCGGAGGATGGTAAGAGCCTCTGTATCCCCTTATGTCTCTGGGGAAAGACTGCGGTGTCTCTGGGTCCGGTGTGTGCCGCGGTTAGGCTGACGGCGAGACGGAGCTCTCACTCACAAGCTGTCATCCCAGAGCCGGCCGCGCATGCGCCCCAGCAACAATAGATTGTCACGCTGATATTGTATGATCAATATATTCACGTAAGCACCTTATGATTGCATTTGACACTTTTTTCTAGCGATGCACTTAAATTTGTACTCCTATATTGTGGGTTTTGTTACCTTGCCTTCATTGTGCTAGCAGCTATTCTGCTCTCCGCGCTCACCTTACATCTTGCGCTATTACTACGGAATATCTGTTTTTATATTGCATGGATTTGGAGCCAAAGGGCCTATGGGGACATAGCACGTGGAAGGAACACTTTATGGATTTGAAAGTTTGAAGGTCAGAGTCCTCTGATTGTGCTGTACCAGATGAGGCTGGGCCTGCCCTTTTTTTTAACCTCCCAAGACTTCTTATTGGGAAGCCTAGTGGACCACTAGGAAGGCATAAATTGCACAGTGTCATTGCTTATAAGGTTAGGAAAAAGTGGTGTGTGTGTGTGTGTGTGTGTGTGTGTGTGTGTGTTCAAAGCTGTTGATGCTGTTGTACCAATGAGAGGGATCATCATTTTAACTGCTCTTACTGTAAAAGACCCTCTTCACAGTCTAAGTTTAAATGTCCTTTCTTCTAACCTCAAATTGTGGGCACGTGTCTTCGTCTCGGACCTTGGAGTACTCTATAACAGTTACTGAAGTTACATAAGATTTATTTGTACAATGTAATCATATACCCACTTAAGTGCCTCTTCATAAGAGTGAATAACTAATCTATGTAATTGATCCTCATAACAGAGGTCCTCCTTCCCCTTTATTAATTTTGTGTGTCTGTCGCTGAACTCCTAATTCAGCAATGTCTTTTTTTCTGAGGACTGGTGAAAAATAATAAACTGAATATGCAAGATGAGGCAAACCAAATTTTTGTAAAAGGGTAACCCCTCCCTCTTTACAGTACAGGTCGCATCTTCTGATGCAATATTGTCAACCTATTTTCAGTTTGAATTGCACAGATCTGTGACAGGGTAACTTTAAAAGATAGTTCCTTGTCTGACATTCCCAGGTACCAAACATTTACGGTGTACTTCAAATGCAATTTCACTTTTAGTTTATCATTAATAGGCAAATATTACATTTTGCCTTTTTCTTTTACACTGTTTCTTAGAACAAACAAATTGTACAACCATGACTGACTGGCTTTTCTAAATGCAGGAGAAGTATGAAGAGCAACATACAGAAAGCTACCTGCACATCTCTACACTTGAAAATGACCTTTCACAAACGAGAGCAGTCAAAGACCAACTACAGAAATATGTCCGAGAACTGGAACAAGCTAATGATGACTTGGAAAGAGTAAAGAGGTATGTGAGCTTGAGGGCTTTTCTTTTTTTAATATCCCTTATTTTCAGTTAGTGGTTTGTTTTCAGACTTTTGTATTTTAAAGTGAATATCAGGTCAAAAAAATTTACACAAAGTTGTCCCTGCAAAACAAGAATGTAAATGCTGACCCCTTCTGCCTGCATTGACCCAATCAAGAAACATTTTCAGAGTGTGTGTTGATGTGATGTCGCCTGAAACGCTTAGTGGTTCCACCTGCCAACCTCCACATCACTACTGTACCCCATGTTGTGGTAGAGGTAAGTATTAACCATCTTCTTTTACATGGGCACCTTGGTATGGATTTTTAAAGACCTGACTGGGTCACTTTAAATGTCACAACTTTTCAAAGGGATTTTCACTATATGGTTATCTTGAGCTTTGCAATTTGTAGAAAGGTAAGCGTGTTTGCACATGCACAACAAAAAAAAAGTTCTGAACAGGCAGGTTTGAAACTACAGATCACATTAAAGTAGTACTCCTAAGTGTGTGTCCATGTCCATTCAATTTGATTAAAAGGATCCTGTATTGTTAGGATGAATTTCATGCAGTGGCTACACATAGTTTTTCGTGCCTACGGTGCTCCCTTTTATTTTATTTCCCCCCCCCCCCCCCCCCCCCCATCATCATGAATTTGACAAAGGTTGTACCCCTTACCAACCTGATCAGCTGGAATGTGAGGAAAATCCCCTCTTAGAGAGTTGCTACAGAAACCAGTGTCCTCACTGGGAAATGTAGCCTCCTATTCCTGTTCTAGCATCTCAACGTTTTTTTTTTTTTTTTTTTTTTTTACCCTCCCATCACTCCTGATGACTGTGGTGATTGTACAGTTGTATAGCATTATGTTCTTGGGTTTAGATGTATTTCAATAGTTTTTGATGTTTTTGTGTACTGATCCAGTGTTTGCTTTAAACAGAGCCACCATCATATCTCTCGAGGACTTTGAACAGCGTTTGAATCAAGCAATTGAGAGAAATGCATTCCTTGAAAGTGAGCTAGATGAGAAGGAAAATAATTTGGAATGCATCCAGAGGTTAAAAGATGAAACCAGAGGTGAGGCAAATAGTGCTTCTGCGTTTGAGTCCAGGTATATTACAGATGCTTGGTGTCAAAGTGAAGATTTGCTATGTTATAGTAATAGCAGTACCCTAAAAGTGTGCATCTTCTGGTCTTGTCATCCTACTAAAAAAAATAGTAGTATACTGCCTCTGCTTGAGTGTCATAGCTGTGTTACTGCAGTGTGAAGTTGTTCAAGGCCCTCTGCCTCTGACTGCTAGCCTCGCAAGGTTTTGGTAGTATTGCTACGGTGCTGCTCACTGGTCTCCTTGTTGGAGCGAAAACTGTACCAGAGGATATGCAGTGTATCTTCTGTTTCCTTCTGTGGATCTGTACCTTGATCATTCATCCAATTGCTAGTTATCGAGGGTCAGTGCTGACATGACCAAGATTGCTGCCTCCACTTAGAGGCACAGTGCATAATAAGGCAAGGTAAATCAGTAACTGGGGGAGAAAAGGGACAATGCTGGTGACTAGTCCTCTACTTGCCTTTTTTGCCCACCGCTTCCATAATTCTTGTCCTCTTTATCCTTCTTAAGCATGGGTCTCCATGTCATGAGAATCCTAATACATTCCAGAGGAGAACTCGGCTTTGCACATTTCTAGTTCTCCGTTCCTGCTGAAAAATGTTTTCCTAGAAATCAGAAACCAGTTGGTTAAACAGCAAGTTATGATGATTGCATATGTTTGCATGTAAATAAACCTCCCTGGTGGCTGTTGTCTAAAGCCATTATGTTTACACTAGACCTCTGTAACTGTCAGATTTGTTCCTGATGATGTTATAACTAGCTAATCATGGGGATCACAGGTTTACTTACAAATACAGACTCACCAACCTACCTTCTTACCAAGGCACCCGACATCCTTCCCTGCCACCTGTTTTGGGGATTTGTCTTTGCACACCGTGGCCCCTGTCTTATGTGCATAGGGGTGGGTGGTATGATTTAGGCCCGAAGCAGTATGTCACAAGACTTCTGTAACATTTAAAATGGTTTGTGCAGCTGTGACATAAAGAGCAAACACCACCCACCCAGCCGAGAAGCTTTTGTTCCATTCCCTGTGTAACGGGTTTAGCTCGGCGGTGGGTGGGTGTGACCCCCTGGATGGGTGCACAACACAAAAAGACAGGCACAGCACAACAACAGTGGAGGTGAAAAAACAAAAAGGTGCAGTTTATTTACAATATGTACAGAAAATGTCAAACCAAAAAGAAACATCAAATTAAATCCTGGCCAACTTGGCTACTTACTGTACCAACAGCTTTCCCTAGCTACCCACTAGGTACAGCCTGATGCTATACCTAGTTGCTAGTGGTTGGAGGCTAGCCACACAGGCTTTTGTCTCCCTGCACACAGATAAGATGTTTGCTCCCCCAGTCAGCTCAGGCACAGATCTGGTTCCAGGTTGGAGCAACTCCCTAAGCAAGCTGGGAAGTTTTATACCAGCCTTAATGAGCCCACTACCTTCAGCTGGGCTCATTACCTCAGTGCTGAAGGACTCAGCACTTCCCTCTAGTGGAACAAATCCCCATAAAGTCTGAACCTTGGACAAATGTATCGTCCATCCAGGACGCAACCAGGTGAAACACAGGACGGCTGCACATCCCTTTTTTTTTTTTTTTTTTTTTTTTTTTTTTTTTTTTTTTTTTTTTTTTTTCTCCACCACAACAGGTTGTAATTCCCCCTCAAGCTATGGAAATGCTGCTTCTGGCTCTTTGGGCCTCAGTTGCTATACCTCCAGAGTCTCCCCTTCTCTCCTCAGGGACCCCCATGCCTCATTTTTCTAATTCGAGTGGAATGTTCAGATGAGTGTGTCCTGTGGCCTCCATCAGTGCATAGTGTTTTTCTTATTGATGACCGTAAAAAGTGAACATTTTGGAGTCTGAGAACTCCTCTTAGGAGAATGGGCACTCCACTTCTCCCAAGCTACAAGAAACCCTTTTTAGTTTCTGATGGACAAGTTAGGCTCATGTTTGAATTTAAAGCTATTTCCACCTTCTGGACCGAAGGTCTCCAGTATGGGATTGCTTCTCATGCCCTACAAGGAAGGACCTACTAGATCCTTTCAGCTCATCCATTAGTACAGGGTTTTCTGTATGAAGACTGGTCAAGGCCAGACAAAAGCTGTATTCTCCCAAAAGGTTTGCTCAGCAGTGCCCAGTTGAGGAGGCTTACTACAAAACGTAAAGGGTTTCAGTGATGAATCCAGCTATTTCCTGCCTCAAAAAAAGACCTGATAGTTATGTTTGAATATTCCCCACTCTTCAAAGACCCAACGAATAAGAGTTTTTAGAGGTCTCTTGCTCTGTCAAGCTTGGCCATGCAAACAGTGTTTTCTATGGCTGTTTGTTGGGCCCTAGTAGGTTCTCTGGCTGCATAACTGGTCTCAAAGAATCCAAAGTAATGCAAAAATTTGCGGGACTTTTAATATGCCACCCAGGAGACCATATATAGCATCTGACAAATCAACATACAAATATGTGTAAAAAAAAAAAAAAACCTAAAATGCACATACAGTGCCCTAACAAAATATTGTTTCTCCTGCTTCAGCTTTTTTTTTTTTTTTTTTTTTTTTTTTTTGTGGGTAGCAGTGGGCGAATGGCATTTCAGTTTGTTGCTCTTCTCTTTTCAGCCTGTTCCTGGGCCCTTAGGTTTTCACCAAGGTGCTTGCCCTAATCCCTGCTATGTTGCACTCTCTCAGGGAATCCACATTATCCGCTATCTGGACAATCTTCTATTGAAGGAAATCCTCTGCCTATGCCATCGCAGTCCACACTTCCAAGCATTGGGTGGATCATTGTCCTCAGTTTTATGTTGGATCTGACCCACTGCTGGAGACATGGCCTAGGCCAGGATGTTTAACGGGAGCAAGTGTTTACCCTCCGTTCTTACATCTGGACCCTTCTCTCAAAGAAGCTCCCTTTTTGGCCTGATTTTTTTTTTTTTTTTTTAAGTACTGGGCCTCAAGTTAGCCTCCTTCAAGGCCGCAATGTTTGCCTTGTCTCACTCTGCCTCTGCAACTCATTGTGTTGACTGCATGGGGAAAGCTCCCATAGTCTCTGGACTGGGCCATACAAGCCCATTATGTGGCTGACCTTATTACTCACCAACTCTGCACTGGCATCTGGGAAATTCTTTCTTCCATTTTTTCTTGTCATTTTCTCACAACTGAGGGCAGCCTGTCAGGTTGAAAAGGAAGTCCCACAGATGCAAACTGTCCAAAGGATGTTCTTATCGAGGGAGTCTAGACTTTCCCTCAACAATCTCTCAATCAAAGAGCCACTGCCTGATGCCGCAGACTGACCCTTGAGGGTTCGGTTACAGCGCCATGGCTTACATCTTCATCAGGGTGGTACCAGAAGTCATGCAGATTTTTGAGAAATGGACTGTTTTTTTTTTTCTAGTGTGGGGCTAAAGGCATGTTCCAGCCTTATCAGCATTCCCAGAGTACACAGTTGACAGGCAGACTTTCTCTTTTGTCGTGTGTGTGTGTGTGTGTTTTTTCTAGAACATCTGTTACCATTGAGGGAAAACGGGTGTAAATCTGTTTGGCATTTCACGTCAACAAGGTGGACAGGTTTGTGGCTAGAAACAAGGATTGCAAAAGCCTTTACAGTGGACACACTGGTGACCATGTAAGATAGGCTTTGCCTTGTACACTCCTTCCCTCTGCCGTAATTCTTTCTTGGCTGCTTCAGAGGATTGAGATGAAGGGCATCCTGATGATCTTGGTGCTTCCAAATTAGCCCAGAAGGACTTGGTACTTGGCTGTTTTCTTCCTCCTGAGACACACTGTGGGCACATACCGACCTGACCTGCTGTCTCAAGGGCCACTCTACCAACCTGTTTCTTTGTCGCTGGCTTTCGCTGTTCAAGCCTTCAAAGTCCTGAGAGATTAGGATCTCGTCAACTTAATTATTTCTACGTTGCTTAAAGGTAGGAAATTCACTTCTTCAAAGGCATATCCTGCTTTTCATTCCACTGTTTTTTAACGTGGATCAGGAGTCCTCCACTTCATGTTATGTCTCAACTCTGTGTCAGTACCTCTTGTGAAAAGCAGACACCTGGTTCTGAAGAGCCCATTTGCAAGGCCACCACCTGCTCCTTTGTTTACACATTTGTTTAGTGTTACCAGACGGATGCTCAGGCCTCTGAAAAAGTGGCTTGAAGCTGGTGTCAGCAGTTTGGGAATCTCTGTCCCTTATTTTGGGCTTCTTGGTGTTTGTTGTTTTTGCCCACACATGGGGGGGGGGGGGGGGGGCATCCCATGGTCTTGATTGATGATTTAAGTGTTGTACTTAAAGATGAGGATTTTACAGGCAAGTAAAAATCCTTTCAGTTTTTGTCCACTGCCTAAATAACTAGTTTGAGCAAGTTGTCATTTGATTTTGTCCCCCAGCTGGGTCATGTCATGCATTTGTCCTCTTCACATATCCCAATACAAAGGACTCAGGAGATTACTGTAACCACTTGCCTACCGGGCACATTTACCCCTTCTTGCCCAGGCCAATTTTCAGCTTTCAGATCTGTTGCACTTTGACAATTGCGTGATCATGCAACACTGTCCAAACTAATTTTATCTTTTTTTTTTTAATGAACAAACAGAGCTTTGTTTTAGTGTTATTTAATCACCACTGTGGTTTATTTAGTTTTTTTTTTTTTTTTCTAAACGAAAAAAGACCAAAAATTTTGAGAATTTTTCTTAGTTCATTATAAGGTTTTGTAAATAAGTGATTTTTCTTCTTCACTGATTGGCATTGATAGGTGGCACGAATAGCCTGCACTGAGGAGGCGCTGATAGCCAACACTGGTGGAGCTACACTGTTCATCAGGGAGCTAATTGGGGATGGGGTTCTGAGAGGACATCCATGGACGCTCTCCCAGAACCTGCTGACTGCGCTGTAGCAGTCTTTTGGCTATAGCGTGGTCGGGAACTGGTTAGAATCTGGCAGGCACCTTTCTCCTGACTGCCTGATGTGACTTCTCATGTTGGTGATGTTGGTGTTTCTTCTTGTTTCATTATTTTATTTCAAGTACTTGTATAGCACTGACAATTTCTGCAGTGGCTTTTGGAGCGTGAAAGAAAACCCAGAGTACCCAGAGGAAACTGATGCAGGCACAGGGAGAACATGCAAACTCCAGGCAGGTAGTGCTGTGGTTGTCAGGTGTAAATTCTAACCACTAAGCCACTGTGCTGTCCATTTTAAAAACACCCAATAGGATACTTAACCATTAGCCACCCGGCCTATAGCCGTTTGGGGGCCGCAAAAGTGCTGCAGATTTCCGGGGTATACGCCATTTGGCGTCCTCCCGCACATGCGCATTTCGCGCGGTTGCAGAGAGTTGCAGCGGCGCGATCTGTCACCGGCCGTGTACCTCGGACACGGCCGATGACAGATCTGAGTACCGGCCCCCGTTGCCGGTACCATGTGACCTACTGTAACCAATCACAGCAGGTCACATGACAGTTGTATACAATGGATGGTTTCATTCATGCCATCCATTGTGTACTAGTGCTTAGCTGTGAATGGTCACAGCAGAACACATGCACATGTCATGTGATTAGCTGTGGCCAAATCATAGCTAAGCACAAAAAAAAAAAAAAAATAGAAAACCCTGAATGAATCGATGTCATTCAGGTAAATGCTTGCTTATAGCAAAGTAATTCTTTGCTCTAAGCAAATTGTGTAAAAAAAAAAAAAAGAAAAGAAATTACTGATCACTTCCCAAAGTAGTACAATGTTTTAAAAAAAAAAAAATAGTGAAAATAATTTTTTTAATTTTTTTCATTTTCCGAAAAATTGCCAAAAAAAATACAACTTCAAAAAACTCGCTATTCCTCTTATGAAGTACATCAGACTGTCTACTGTGCAAAAAGGGGTCATTTGGGGATATCTGTACTATTCTGACTTTCTTGGACCTCAAGAAATTAGATTGGCTGGCAGTACTTCAGGATTGATCAATTTTCAGATCTATACCATAGTTTGTGAACTCTATAACTTTCCTACAAACTAAATAATACATCCCTAATTTGGGTTATTTTCACCAAAGACATGTAGCAGAATACATCTTGGCCTAAATTTATGAAGAACAATTATTTATTTGTAAACTTTTATAACAGAAACAAAGAAAAACGTGTTTTTTGTTGTTTTTTTCAAAATTTTTGGTCTTTTTTTGTTATTTAGCAAAAAATAAAAACCCCTGCGGTGATTAAATACCACCAAAAGAAAGCTCTAGTTGTGTGAAGAAAATGATAAAATTTTAGTTTGGGTACAATGTTGTGTGACTGCGCAATTGTCATTCAAAGTGTGAGAGCACTGAAACGTGAAAACTGGCCTGGGCAGGAAGGTGTAAAATTGCTCGGTATTGAAATGGTTAAAAGCATTGACACCACATCTGTATATACTATTAATTTACTACCATTCCTTGCTGGACTATGTCACACATACACGATAATCCTATTTAAGTATTCAAATACATTATACACCCATATACCACTAACCTCAGCTGCTCCTCTATCCAGCTATTGTGTTCTAAAGAGAGCAGTACTTTCTTTTAATTATGCTGATGATCAAGAACTAGTAGGAAGATACTATCTCAGAAGTATGGGGGAAAATTGGCTAAACAGGCATAATTCATCAATTACTGCTCATACTTGGACAACAGTTGGATGCCACTATACAATATATATTTGCATCATACATATACACGGTTACATTATATGAATGTCATATTCTAGTGTAACATTGTATTTTTTAATATCTTTTAAAATTTAGACTTGAAGCAAGAGCTAGCAGTGCAGCAGAAGCAAGAAAAGCTGAAATCTTTTAATGGGAGCTCAGTAAGTGAACACACTGACACAGCTATTCAGGCATCTATAGCTGAACAGTCAACACCTCTGGGTCAGAGAGTATCATTCTCTGGACAAAACTCACCAGTACAATTCAGAACAAGTAAGTACTTTTTGTAAGGTGGCCTTTTTCATAAAGGTTTTAAATGATAGATTAACAGTGATCCACAATGCGTTCTTTGAATAGTAATTCTGTTCGTGTGACTTTTTGAAGTCTGTTTGTTTGTTTGCTTGTTTGTTCTGTGTGTGGTGGTGGTGTTTTTTTTTTTTTTTTTTTTTTTTTTTTTTTTTTTTTTTTTTTTTTTTTTTATTACCACTTGCCCTCCTGAGGATTTAAACCCCCCCCCCCCCTGACCAGGCCATTTTTTTTTTCATTACGGCGCTGCGTTACTTTAACTAACAATTGCACGGTCATGCAACGCTGCACCCAAATTAAATTTGTCCTTTCTTTCGGTGGCATTTGATCGCCTGTGCGTTTTTTTTTTTTTTTTTTTTTTTGCGCTATTAAAAAAAAGACAATTTTGAGAAAAACAATATTTTTTACTTTTTGCTATTAAACATGTCCAGTAAAAAAAATCTAAGAAAATGTAGTCAAATTTATGCCAAAATGTATTCTGCTAAAAAAAAAACAAAAAAAAAAAAACGTGTAAATGAATTGGTTTACTTGAAACTTATAGCGTTTACAAATGGCGGTATAGATTTTTTTTTTACACTAGTAATTGCAGCGATCAGCGACTTACAGCGGGCATTCTGACACTGGGGGGGACTGACTTAGTGTCACTGACATCCGCAGTGACACCAATATAGTGATCAGTGCTAAAAAAAAAAAAAAAAAAAAAAAAGCATTGATGCTGGTCAGGAAGGGGTTAATCAGGGGCAATCAAAGGGTTAATTGTGTGCTGGGAGTGTATTACTGGGGGGCGTATGTTGGTACTTGACTGTACACAGCCATCCAGAGCGGTGTGCCCGAGCCGATGGAGAGGAAAACGGTTAATAAACCATCAAAGATGCTCGGTAATTATCAGCCGGGACCGGGTGATTGGCGGCCTCGAATGGCGACGCGGGTAGGGTGCTCGCATGCACGCCCTACCTGGAAATACAAAATCACGTGTATATATACACGTGATTTTGCGCACCCCTGCCACCCTGTAGTAGTATATCTGCTACAAGGCAGTCTGGAAGGGGTGGGGAGTGTTGTAGGATTTGTTTGTAAACATTCAATTTTCTAAAATATGCTTAAACTCAGCATGTCCAAATGGTGATTTCAAATGGTTTAAAGTAGTTCGAAAGCCTAAACATTTTAACCTTTAATGCAACCCTTGCAGATGTTTAGGCATCCTTTTTGGCCCTTCAAGTGACACCCTCCCCCTGCCCCTTTGCCTACCTGAGCCCTCAATCAATCGCTGTGCACATCTGCGGCTCTTTTCTCCCCTCGCTTCTGTGTTTTCACTGGCTTTGCTAAAGGTAGAAAAAAAAAACTACCTGCCTGACGCCCGTAACTATGTGTTCCAGGCGTCAGGCGATAGGAATTGAACATCCCTGCATTCTAAATATTCTAAATTGCCTTTATGCCTTACTCTTTTATATACCCTATGTTTCAGGACTTCATTCACTGAATGCCTTTTCTAAAGCCCAATTAAAACTTTTGAAAATGAAAAGTGGGTGTGATGACCTAGGAGCGCAGAGAGAGAGAGCACAAGGAGGCAGATTACACGAAACCCAACATGCGGGCGTTTATTGGGGAAACTCAGGGTCCTGACAAAAGAAAAACTAGTCCACAGAACAACACAAATGGCAATGAAGAATGAGCCTCAGGGTGGCAATATGGGGGAGCAGAGGGCAGGTAGTCCAAAGGGCAAACTGGGCAGAGCAGGGTTAAGTCCAGAACACAGGGCAAAGTTCTTGGCACATGGTAAAAATTCAGGGACTCGCCAGCCAGCAGTGGCCTCAGCAGAGGAAGTCTAGGCCGATACGCATGGAGAAGAAGGTCCAGCGGGCCTGGATCCTTCACCAACTCCTTACGGGTCTTCGGAGGGCTGAGTCTCCTGGCCACAGCTTCAAGACCACACAGGCAATAGTTGACGGAAGAGCAGAAGATAGAACAAAGTCCCAGTGTCTGGAAAGCCACACAGACAATATAGAACTAAAAGTCCCAGCAGTGTAAAAAGCAAAGTACAGTTCAATGCATCTCCTAGCGAGGCCAGCAGCCATGAGCTGCTCTGTCCATCCTTCCGCAAGCTCTGCACACTGAGCAGTTTCTCCCAGCATAGGGACATTATGTTGTCCCCCCCGGTGCCAACACGTCTGGCTTTTCCCAGCCACAGGACACCATGCTGTCTGTGCCTCCTGCTGAGATCAACCTAATGTCCCACCAGGGCACAGGAACTGTAGATTTAATTAAACAGACAAGCTGACTGCTTGACACACTTGTTGATTTCAACAAAACATAAAAATAAAAACATTTCTGATCTCTGTTACAGTGGGGTTTAGTACTTAAAATTATTTTCTCATTGAGATCAAGTTTGTCCAAGGCTCTGGTTACAATGCTTTATAGATCAGGGCAGGCTCAGTTTTAAGTCCAGATTTACCTTATTATTTTCATTTTCATTTGCTTTCTGCAACATTCACCAGTAAGCCTTATAAATTGAGTAACAGAATAACAAGGTATGCAGTGCTAAATAAATGATGTAGATAAAACACTGATAACAACATCTCTGCTGAAACAAAGATGATATTGTTGAAAGTGTGTCCACGTTCCAAGTATGGTGAATATAACCCTATAGGCTTAATCAAATGTTCAATTCAGCATAATATCAGTGTAAAATCCTGAAGATTCCAATAAACTTATGCGCTTACCACAAGAACATACAAAATGTGCGTTGTGTGTCATCCGGTGTACCATCCAATGGAAAAGGAGCCTCGTTCCCACTGCTGGCAGCATCCGGTCACAAAGGTAGATTACTCAGGGGATGTCAGCACTCACTCTGGGATCACATCCAGCTCACCGGTGGGTCCAACGGCGTCCAGCCTCCCGGTAAATGCTCCTCCTACTGTGGTGCACCTTACATGACTCGCAGATGAATGAGTCACAAAGGAAAACTGGTTAAGTTCTTTGAGGATTCTAAGATGTAAGCCATCTGGTCCTGGTAATATCTTCACATTAATGCAGGCCATAGATGGGTCGAAAATCGGCCGATTTTTCGGCCGAAAATAAAATCGGCCGATTTTCGGATCGTTAGTGGGCGATTTGGTCGGCCGTTTTTCGGTATTTTTGGTCGTTTTTTTTTTCGGTAAAGTTGGAAAAAAATCAGCCGATTTTGCCGATCGGCCGATTTTCGCGGCAATTAGTGGGCAAATCGGCCGATTTTTTTTACCGATAAAAAATCTGCGCATGAGCAGTGACCTGCAAGAGGAAGACAAAAAGAAGAAGAAAAAAGAAGAAGAGGATGAAGAAGATGAGGATGATGAAGAAGAGGATGAGGATGATGAAGAAGAAGAGGATGAGGATGATGAAGAAGAAGAGGATGAGGATGAGAAGAGAGGATGAGATGATGAAGAAGAAGAGGATGAGATGATGAAGAAGAAGAGGATGAGGAAGAAGAGGATGAGGATGATGAAGAAGAAGAAAAAGTAGGATGAAAAAATAAGAAGAATTCCAGTCCAGCAAAAAGTGTCTCTGCAGAGAGCTCCGCTATTTCTGACAGTTCTCTGACAGTTCCTTGACATTTACAGCGGTTGAAACATTGTACCTATTTGTTTCCGAATAAAAACATCTGTATCCTAAATGGAAACAAATAGATACATTGTTGCAACTTCTATAAATGTCAGAGAACTGTCAAAGAAATAGCAGAGCTCTCTGCAGGGACACTTTTTGCCGGCTCTAGACGGGTAGAAAATCGGCCGATTTTTTTTTTTTTTTTTTTTTTTTTTTTTTTTTTTTTTTACCATTGATGGTAACGTCGGCCACTTGAACAACCGATTTTTCGTTTTTTAAAAGAAAAATCAGCAGTTTTTTCTCCCCATCTATGGCCTGCATTAAGCAGCAGAGTTTCCACTCACTCGCCTTGCTGCTCCTGATTCCTTTCACATGTGTGGTTTGTCTGTGCTCACCTTTTTTTTTTTTTTTTTTTTTTTTTTTCCCCCCCCCTGAATTAATTATGCTTTATATTCCAGGTTTGGATGATGGGTACAGTGGAACACCATTGACACCATCTGCAAGAATCTCTGCACTTAACATAGTAGGGGATCTGCTTAGGAAAGTTGGGGTATGTTGTGTGTTGTTGTTTTTTTTTTTTTTTTTTTTTTTTTTTTTTTTTTTTTTTTTTTTGTGTGGGATTTTTTTTTTTTTTTTTCCCCCTTGTGAAAAACTGCTTTTCTGTTTGTCCTGTAGCTATGTTCAGTAATAATTGACCTGGCAAATCAATTATGTAAATATGGGATAAAAGACCCATTTCAAATTTTAGGTAAACACTAGCACCAACACCTAATGTAACCCCCCTGTGCATCTAGCAGTACTTGTAATCCAGAGGTCTTGGGCCATTCTCTGCTACGATCAGTGCTGAAAGTTCCTTGCTGACAGCAATTGTGCAAAAATGGCTTGTCCTCTAGCAAATAAGTGATCTATATTTTGCTTTTGCAGGCTTTGGAATCTAAACTAGCATCTTGCAGAAATTTTATGTATGAACAGTCTCCCAGCAAACCAGCGGCTCCCTTGATCACTCGCGTTCATAAGCTTAGGGAAAGCAATGAAAATTGTCTCAGTGTGTCTCCAGGAGAAAAGAGGTAAGTCTTGTTTACATCTTTTCAATTCCATAGTCCACATTCTCAAACATTCAAATTTGTTTGTTTGAGCCCTTACAACAGGTTCCCTGCTAGGTGTAACCCCTCCCCAAAATGCAGAACTTCATGTGGTGTTTTTTTGCTAGTGTCTGAAGGTGATGATCACATCTGTGCATCTCTCTGCATGAAAATAGGTAGCTTCTCAATGGTTCCAACAGGGGTCAGAAACTGGTTTTATCCAGATACATTTTCCTATGGCTGTTCATAGTGCTCACTGTAGATGGAAAAAACATGCACACATGTCCAGTGCGGCCGGTGACATTTACATATAGGGTGCAAAACCTTGACAGCAGCTCTCTTGGCTCCCCTCGTGTTGAAGTGGCATAGCAGCCTCACCTGCAGCGAGGCTGTACTGAAAGCACATAGCCTTCTGATGCAATGGGACTACAATGCACAGCAGAACTACTAATCACAGCAGATCATCTTGGGGAAACATCGGGTCTCGCTAGGAAGTTTCTTGTGGGACTACATGTGTCAGCAAACCATCCCTGTGGGTTTGTCTGCTTTATGAAACTACTGGTTGCAGCACGTACTCCAGTGGACCTTGCACCCACACCTTTCCATGTGGGAGTGGTGGAGCACTGGCATATTTGGAGTAGTCTTTTATGGTGAAAGTTGAATAATGCCCTTGCTATAGGTGTAGGAAATTCTATGTACTTCATGAAGCTTCACTGGAGAACTTCTTCTAGGATGAACATAAGACATGCCTACTGTTACTTATCACATCCACCATCATAGGAGAGTGGTCTCATGCATTGAGAGATGCTGCATTAGGGGGGGAGAAAGTGCAAGTGTGGTGGTTTGAACCAGAGAAAGAGCTCACTCCTGTTTACTTTCAGTAAAAGCTAGGCTTCTCTTGGCAGAATCCTAGACGGTTTCCAGTCAGTCTTCATGAGGTACCTAAATGGCTTACACCTATAACAAGGGCATTATTCAACTTGTTTTTTAATCCTAACTACTTTTATTGTCAAGATAATAGAGCAGATGGAACAGTACCCACACAATCCACAATGACATTACTGCAACAGCAGGATTACACATAAATAGAACAATGTGGATACGCAGATCCTGTAATTAACAGAAATGGTAATAGAACAAAACAGAGATCACAAGGATCCAAAACCTGCTCGGCAATATCTTGCTTTTTCCTTTTTAGGTCTTATTCCTTCCCGACTAGATGTAAACAGAAATGGGGGGGGGGGGGGGAAGGAACAATGCCCAAAACATGTCTTTTAAACAATAAACAATAAAAAAACAAAAAACAAAAACACATCAATAACAACTACTGGCTCACCCAAGATGTCTCATCAAAAAGAATGGGAGATGCACATGAACTCCCCGGGGGGGGAGTGGAGCCACGCACCTGATATAAAATATCACACTTGCAAAAGTAGTTCCACTATCAATTAGGAGGGGCGAGCCCAGGTGTATCCAGCCAACCCTGCCATACCTGCTGAAACTTACGATCAGCATTGTGATGTTGGCATGTGAGTTTCTGCCGTGGGAGTAAAGAATTAACATAATCTATCCATTGCTTACTAGTCGGAGCCGATGATAACCAGTACCTTGCTATCAACTTCCTAGCCAGATATAAAAGTCTAGATACCATAATATACCCTCCTGGTTGGAACAGTTCTTGGTCCAGTGTCCCCAACAGACAATGCAAGGGATCCTAAGGAACAGTATATTGCGATACTAGAGAAATAAATTGGAGCACCTCATTCCAATATCTATGTAACTTGGGGAAATGCCAGAGCACATGAATGAAATCATCCTGTTGGACACTACACCTCGGACAATCAGGTGAATCCCGCCTGCCCTGCCAATACAGTTACACAGGGGTCCTATACGCTTGATGGAGAATAAACAATTGAGACATTTTATGAGAGGGACAAAGAGAGAGAAATTCCATGGCAGCATCCCAGACATCTCCAGCAAACTCTCCAATATCCCCGGACCACTGCACCCTGCTCCAGAGACTAGCTTGATCCTGTACTGTGGACAATAGCTGCGAGTATACCCGAGAAATCATGCCCTTCTTATGGGTTGCCTGAGTGACATCTTTAAGAAAAACTGAGTCTGCAATGTAAGATTAGAGAGCGATGACTGAGCCTGTATCGCATGGCGTAGCTGAAGGTAACAATAAAAATGCTTATGTGTAAATTTCCATTTGTAGTTGAGAAAAGGATTTTACGATTGCCTCCGAATACAGCCGAGATACAAATTTCAAGCCTCGATCCCTCCAGTGTAGCCAGTTTGACATATTCTGGATTATTCCACAAGGGAGTACAGGAAAGAAAGCCGGTCATATGAAAGGGCGCTTTTGCAGTACTCCAGACACACCTCAAGAGGTCTGCAGTTGGAGCCATGGATGGAAGGACCAGTAGAGCCATCTCAAGATGGGAGAGCCGAAATGGTGGGATCAGAAAGGGAAATCAAACTAATAGTGGGATCAGTATTATCAGGTGAGTCTCAGCCAACCAGTTGCTATTGGACCGCCAGAAAATAAAGCCTGGGCTCAAGAACCGCCAACCCCCCGACTCCTAGCCATATTGCAACGTAGACAATTTTATCCTGGCCACTTATTTCCAAATAAGACTCCTAAACTGGGTCTCTATGCGATGAAACCATTTCTTAGGAATACATATGGGAGAATTATGAAAAAAAATATAAAAAAATATAAAGAAGTTGCGGGGCCCGACTCATTTTTAATTAAATTGACCCTACCCACTACCGACAGAGGGAGTTTGCACTGTTAACACTTCAATTTCTATTAAGTAGAAGTAAAAGGTTAAGAGAAATATACTGCTTAGGATCAGGAGAGACTACCATCCCCAATTATTTAAATGTAGACACTACTTGGATGTGTGGTGCACAGGCTGAGAGGGGGAGTTCTACAGGATCCACAGGCATCAACACCATTTTTATGCCAATTCATTTTAAAGCTGGAAAATCCACCAAAGCGTTCAATAAGGGACATAACAGAATCTAAGGATGTGGAAGTATCAACCAAATAGAACAGTGTGTCATCTGCATAAAGGGATTATCTTTTCTGAAAGAACCCACCTTGTAACACTGACTATATCCGGAGATTGTCGCACGAAAATCGCTAAAGGTTCTAACACCAAAGCGAACAAAAGGGGCGAGAGAGGACAGCCCTGCCTTGTTCCCCTCTGCAGCCTGAATGAATCTGACAAATCCCGTTAACCCGGATTCGGGCACTAGGGGCCGCATAGAGCAGGCGCACTCAACTAACGAACTTGGGAACAAAGCCAAATCTAGACAATTGCAAATAAAAACAAAAATGATGTAGCGCTTAAAAAGGGATAAATAGACACTACTTAGTCTATATAAAGGAGAAGTGCGTAATGGAACTAGTGCTGAGGAGGTCACGTGACGCAACGCGTCGATGGCATTACGTGGTGACGCACTTCCGGCGCGGTGCCATCTTGGAACACCCTTCAGCCACATGTTTACACCCATGGTATGGGAAAAAGCTGTATTTCATCTTGCTGATGTAAGTGTGCATTTTACTTAGTTCAAATGCAGTATTAAAGCGGTTTTACACTATGGAGGATGTCTTCTTCTTTTATCCTATTGGGATCTGAGCTGGGATCCATCTTGCTCATCTGACCGTTAAGGATATTATAGGAGAGGTGGAATCAGTGTGTTGGGGATATATCTTCAAGTCATCTACTCAAGAGGAAGGTTGTCTTGATCCAGTGGTGATAGTATATCCTCTGTGGCCCTGCAGGGTCGCAGATAGGAGGTGAGAGGCCATTTCAGCCGGTTTTGGATTACACTTCAGGGTGTGTGGGATCATACACATTCCATTGACTTTGCATGAATAGAAGGAATGTGACACGGATCAGCGGACTTTTTTATGTGTGCACTGTGTGCAGTGGTTTCACATGTGTTTCAGACCTCACATATTTACAGTGGGGATCGAAAGTTTGGGCACCCCAGCTAAACATTTGTATTAATGTGCATAAAGAAGCCAAGGAAAGATGGAAAAATCTCCAAAAGGCATCAAATTACAGATTAGACATTCTTATAATATGTCAACAAAAGTTAGATTTTATTTCCATCATTTACATTTTCAAAATAACAGAAAACAAAAAAATGGCGTCTGCAAAAGTTTGGGCACCCTGCAGAATTTATAGCATGCACTGCCCCCTTTGCAAAGCTGAGACCTGCCAGTGTCATGGATTGTTCTCAATCATCGTCTGGGAAGACCAGGTTATGTCAATCTCAAAGGTTTTAAATGCCCAGACTCATCTGACCTTGCCCCAACAATCGGCACCATGGGTTCTTCTAAGCAGTTGTCTAGAAAACTGAAACTGAAAATAGTTGACGCTCACAAAGCTGGAGAAGGCCTATAAGAAGATAGCAAAGCGTTTTCAGATGTCAATATCCTCTGTTCGGAATGTAATTAAGAAATGGCAGTCATCAGGAACAGTGGAAGTTAAAGCAAGATCTGGAAGACCAAGAAAAATATCAGACAGAACAGCTCGCAGGATTGTGAGAAAAACAATTCAAAACCCACATTTGACTGCACGATCCCTCCAGAAAGATCTGGTAGACACTGGAGTTGTGGTACACTATTCCACTATAAAGAGATACTTGTACAAATATGGTCTTCATAGAAGAGTCATCAGAAGAAAACCTATTCTACGTCCTCACCACAAAAATCATCGTTTGAACTTTGCAAATGAACATATAGACAAGCCTGATGCATTTTGGAAACAAGTTCTGTGCTCATTCCGGCCAAAAAGTTCAATTTTAACCTCATCGGTCCAAAGGTACGTTTGGAGAAGAAGGGACACAGAATTTAATGAAAAGAACCTCTGTCCAACTGTTAAGCATGGGGTTGGATCAATCATGCTTTGGAGTTGTGTTGCAGCCAGTGGCACAGGGAACATCTCACGAGTAGAAGGAAAAATGGAT